ATTTGGTGACTGGGGCAATCGGGATGAGTGTGTTGGAGGCAATGAGATTGGAACAGGACAAAGCAGAGTTTAAAGCTGTTGTACATAGGTTCGCTATGAGTCGCAAGCGACTCGATGGCACATAACAATAAAAACATAATATCTTTGTGTTGCATACCATCTCTGCTTTTCCTCATTTCATCTTTTAACGTATACTTTCCGTTGTGATGAAAGAGATTTCCTTTGGTCCCCACACTTATTTTGTTTATTCCTACTTTCGCTAAGTTTAAGTGTAGCTACCTCCTTGCTCTGCTGAAGAATTCACTGGGCTTTGTTAGCAAGGATTCTTGTCTGATCTTGTATTTTTACCAGCTCCCCTTTATTTTCTGTATTTAAATATTCAGCCTTTAAGGCACTGGGCTTAGTGTCGCCACTTCAGTAGTCTTTTCTGTGAGTTCTTTTGCACCCAGATTAACTACCACGTTGTTTGTCACTCACTTACTTCTCCTTCTGTGACTGTGTCAGTGGGGGCAGATGTGTCGGAGATAGTGAGGTTGGCTCAGGATAGGGCAAGGTTCAAAGCTGTTGTTTATATGACCACTATGAGCTGTAGTTGACAGCAAATATCAGTGACAATAATCCTCCAATAAACTTTCATCTCTATGCGTTCTGTAATTTTAAAAATTTATAACGCCTAGTGTAAAAGAGCAAACAGATCTGTCTAGGAGGAAGTGCATCCAAGCTGCTCAGTATTTCTTAGAGGCAAGGATGGTGAAATGTTATCTCATATACATGGGGGATGTCAGGAGGGGCCAGTACTTGGAAAAAAGATACCATGTTGGGAAAAGTACGGGGTCAGATAAAGAGAGAAAGGCCCTCAGCAAGGTGGACAGGCATAGTGACTCCACCAGTAGGCTTACATATGGCAGAGACCACGGGGCAGCACAGGGTCAGGCAGAGTTTTGCTTTGTGTACACGGGGTCACTAGGAGTCGTAGTTGACAGCACTTAACAACAGTACAAAGTGAACAAATTCATGTGCAGAAAATACTTGGTCATTAAATTATCTAAGATTTCCTCTTCCAAATTACAGCAGAGATAAAGCTAATGATGACAAAGACGTATGGTCTTAGACTTTAAAGAGCTGTGGTGATGCAGAATATTTCTGTGTTTTCATCACCTATTCTAGAGCCAAACTTGAATTCTATAAAAGGAATACAAGTGAAGAGCGAAGGGGGAACTCTTGCTGCACTCAGCTTGCTGACTCATCTCGGGTTTGGCTTCTCTGAGCTGCAGTTTCCCCATTTCTGAAAGTCAGAAGTCACGTCTTTGGCCACTCGCCTCTAAGTTTGCTGGGAAAATGTACGTTCCTGAAGATATCTGCCTTTGCCTTTGAAAGGAAAAGGGTGACTTATTATATGTTCTTATTTATTTCCTGTTTCGATCTGTAGGAAGGAATTTATGAAGTCACTCCATTCTTCACTGGGACTGATGACAGGGCTAGGTTTGATGGTAATATTTCTTAGTGTGCCAACTTTTCCTGTGGTGATCTGGTAAAGCCTATGTTTCAACCAGGATAAATATGTTTTAAAATGCAACAAAGCAAAATACAGAGGATTCCAAAGGGAACAGATTATATTGAAATATAAAGAGGTCCATGCTGTGCAGGTTAAGGCTTCTCCATCCAGTCTCCTGAAATGAGTAGAGTAATTGGTCTTCCTGTGGCTGCACAACATAAGCTCTTTTTTCTTTCAGTTGAATGTATTTTATGATTATAAAAGAAAAAGATTCCTTATGTCAAACTTAAAATTTCCTTTTCTCAGCTATTTCTTGTGATTTTCTTGCAAATAAACTGGTTATTACTTCCTTTTCCTTTTTACTAGAAATTACTAGTTTGTACATAATGTATTTATGGACATTATTTCGTGGGTCATGTGCCGAGTCCCTGGCCTCTGTGTTGAGTTAACGTAAGCCCCCGCCCCCATGGTCTTCCTTGTCTGGCACTGGGGCCAGATCTGCCCGTGTCATTTACTTTCCCAGACCATCATGGCAAGATGAGCTTCCTCAGCGATAATCTCATTATAAAGATGTCTGATTCCTAAATCCATAGACAGCTTTATGCTGTGGTTGTTGCTTAAAAACAATTTTAATATTTTATCTGACAAAATGAAGAAATCTCTTTCTACTGTTGTTAAAAATATGCATGAGAATGTCTGTTACTAGAACTTAAATGATGCCCATGCAATTGATAGCCTCTGAACACGTACTGGAGGTCAGCCAGGTGGAGATTCTTGACTCGATGGCAGTGAACAAAAGCAAACATATGTATTCAGGGAGCTCTGGAGCCTCGCCCGGAGGGAACTGCATTACTAACCCTTATTCTTCTGTACTACTTTGACAGTTCAAATCCACTCTTGGCTTCATGGTAGAAAGATGAGCAGTCTCTACTCAGAATTTACAACCTTGAAAACCTCTGGAGGGTCAGATAGGAGTTCATTCTGACTGTGAAGCAATGGATTTTTTTAGTTAATGTGTATACAAGGAACACTGGTTGCACTGCAGTTCTGACATTTAGCTGCCAACCAAAAGTTGGCCGTTCAAATTCAGCTGTGCCAGAGAAAAAGGAGTTTGCTTGTCAAAGCTTTGCAGCCTTGAAAATCCTGTTGAGAAGTTCTGCTCTCTTCTACATGGTCTCCCTGGGTTGAAATAGACTCATTAACAGGAGGGGAATGTATATCCTGTTGAATGATTTTCTTTTTATATTTTCTAGAATGTCATGAACTTCCCTCCTCTCCTCCTTTTTCTAAAATAGTTTTCTAGTGTGATCCGAAGCACAGTTCTGAGTGTGGCTTCTCATTCTTGGTTTATTTTCAGTCTAGATGGATGAGGGAAATTCTGTTTTATGCTGTTGTAGGTTTTAACTCAAGGTATATGGTAACAACTAAGTTTTATGGTCAGAGGTTTTTGTTTTGTTTTTTTTTAAATATGTACTGAGAAAGTAAATGACTTACCACTTCTGAGTTCTGCTGGCCTAGTTGTAAGAAGCTGCACTGGAATTCCAAAGGCTTGTGGTTTAAATTTACCAGCTGCTCGGTGGGAAAAGGATGGGCACTCTCCTCCCATGTGATTTACTACCTCTGAAAATCTTCTGGAGGGTCAGCGTGGGTTGGTTCCACTTTGATGGCACACAACAACAACTGAAAAGTAGGACAGGGTGGAAATTCCATGCTAATAGCAGGAATTCAAACCACCATACTACTTGTAGATCTTCATAGAGTAATAGTGGTGTTCTTGCATTGTTGGGTCTGATGGGATATCAATGTTACATTGTATTATAGAGAATTGCCCAGATCAAAACCCTCTACTCAGGAACTGGGATCCAGGACAAGATTCTTCAAAACACATTGTTATCAAGGAAGGAGATAAATTCCGTCTGACCTCAGATGCCACAGTGAATTCTATAGTCATTCAGGATGGAGGTATGTATTGTTGAGATTGTGAAGTTGTTCTTTAATGTGGGTGACATTTGATGTCATTTATATAGAAAACTGTTCTTTAATCGTGTAGCATTTAGTATTTGGTACCACTCTGACATGGAGACTTATCCCAAGGCTAGAAGAATAGAATTCTACAGCTTTCTGATGATCTCGAGATAAACAGGAGATCACCTTTATTAAAGTACTTAATTGATTTTCCACCTATTACAATACATATTTATTTTATTCTTTTCTAATGATTACCACATCTACTTTGATGCTTTTACCCCCTAGTGTTTTTAATAATTTGCTCTTCTCCGGAGCTCTGGTGGCCTACTAGTAAGATGACTCCCTGCAACCCCAAAGATGTGCAGTTTGAATCCACCAACCGCTCTGTGGGAGAAGGATGGATGGACAGTCTCCCACGTGATTAACTATCTCTGAAAACCCACTGGAGGGTCAGCTGTGAGTCAGTTCAGACTTGATGGCACACAGTAACAAAAGCCTCTCTAAGAATGGCTATTTATGCCACAGTTAGAGTAAGAGCTTAGAAATGATTTATGTCAAGACTAGGTGGATATACAGATGAGTACGTGGTTCTAGAATGGTGATGCCTTATAGCCAGATGTTGTTTTTTCAGCTGATGAAAAGTGATGAGAGATTTATCTTAGGCTAATGAACATAGAAAGGAAATTCAGGTTGGTAAACTTTTAGACATTTTTCTAGGAATGATTTACATCTAGAATCTCCCATATCTTAGTTAGCTATGGCTTTTTTGTACAGTCCATAGTCTTGGGGAAGTAGATAGCTCAACTTTTAGTAAAGAAAGCAATTTTAAAGATAATTAGTAAAACATGTATGAGGATCTACGTGGGAAGGGTAGGAGCAGAGGGTTAAGGACAGGCGGGGGGTAATCACAGGGTCGCACAATCTGATGAGTAAAGGGAGAGGTGGGTAAAGGAAATGAAAAAGATCCAGTGTGAAAAATAATATATATATGAACTTTATAAGGAAACCAGTATTAAATAAAAATTTGTAAAAAAATGTGTATAAAAAAAGCAAGTTTAATTTCTGCTTGATATTCTTAGTACAAAGTAAGAAAATATCTGCAGCAAAAAAGTGAGAGGTCTTTCGTTGAAGTGGATTGAAATTAATTTTTTTTTTAAAATGTGTTCAGCTATGAATTTGCTTGCTCTCCCCTCCTCACCCATTTTCTTTGTGTTGGAAAATAGTTTACTTTTCCCAGTAGACAAAGAAGAGTTTTGGGGTTTTTTCCCCCTGGTTTAAGGTGAATCTACTTCTGTCAGATTGAGATTTTTTAAAGTTGGCTTACAAAAGTGTTGCTCCCTGCAGGACTGCTTGTATTTGGGGACGATAAAGATGGATCCAGAAATATTACTCTGAGGACGCGTTACATCCTGGTCAAGGATGGCGGGGCGCTTCATATTGGAGCAGAAAAATGCCGCTATAAATCCAAAGCAACAATTGCCTTATATGGCAAGTCAGATGAAGGGGTGAGCATCCCGATATTTGGCAAAAAGTTTATTGGTGTAGAAGGCGGTGGGACGCTGGAGCTACATGGGGCTCGGAAGATGTCGTGGACGTTGTTGGCAAGGACACTCCATTCCTCAGGCTTGATATCTAGCTCCTATACCTTTGATAAGGAGTTTTCGCGGGGCCTCAATGTGAGGGTCATTGACCAAGACACGGCCAAAATTTTGGAAAATGAGAGGTTTGATACTCATGAATTCCAAAATGAGAGCAAGCGGCTTGAGGAATTTTTGAGAGACCAGGAACCAGGGAGAATCGTTGCTATAGCTGTTGGGGATTCAGCGGCCAAGAACCTCTTACAAGGAACGATACAGATGATCCAGGACCGCTTGGGAAGCAAGCTCATCCAAGGCCTGAGCTACAGGTAATGTAAACCTTTGACTTTAATTTTTCTAGCTGTGTCCTCAGTCCAGTCTCTGTAGGAGAGAGGAGGAAGAGGAGAGAAGCACAACACGTCACAGGTGGCCACAGCTCTCCGTGGCTCAGGTTACTTCTTGTTTTGAAATGGAAGATTTTCATTGTTAGGTGCCATTGAGTTGACCATGACTTACAGTGACCTTTAACCAACAGATCTGCACCTTGTCCAATCCTGCCATCTTCACACTGTACACTGTGCTCAAGCCCATTGGTGCAGTCACTGTGTCAATAGACTTGGGGGTCTTCCTTATGGAATTAGAGGCCAAAAGACTGGATATAAAGGCTCTGATCTAGGTTTGGTTTATAAAGTCCTTTGAGTGCTGTACTGTTGAAATTGTGCAAAGTGAAGACTATAGAAAGGTCCTGCAGTTTAGCAATGTATTCTGAAGATACTTCCTGGTTTCATTCCTTTCTGAAGGTCATATAAAACTCAGGCAGTGAAGTAATATAAATGCAGATAATTTGTGAGTTAAAAGGTTAGGGCACAATTCCATGCTAAAATATATGAAACCTATCTCAAGATTAAGCCCAAAGGAATATAATAAACTGATTTTTCTTTTCTTTCTTTTTGAGTTTTGTGTGTTGGGCTGCTTACCTGAAGGTCAGGGGTTTGAACCCATCAGTCTGCTCTCAGGAGAAGGCAATGTCCTTTTGTAAAGATTTGCAGCCTTAGAAGCCCATTGGAGGAACAGCAGGTGATTGATGCACATCTATATAGCTTTACTGTAAGTGAGGAAAGAAAAAGAGGGCTGGAATATCCAACACAGATGGGAAACAAGTAATCCAGTTATATATAGTTTTAGGGCCATATTCTAGTTAACTGTGATTTTTACTAGCAGTCAGTCTTGAGTCTGTGGAAGTAGTTGACTCAACATTTAATTTTATAACCAGGCATTTTAATTCAGTTTAGTGTTGTCAGTGAAGTTAGAACACAGCTACAATGAAAAAGTAAGAGGACTTCAAAACCCACCTACTGAAGTTGTATAGGTATTTTTTTCACTGATGGAAGATTGATGGAATTAACTATCTACTGATAACCTAAAGAAAGTTAGAAACACAAATCAGTGAAGAAAAAGGTCCATAAATGTTTTTAAAATGCCTTATCTTCCCCTAGGAATAGGTGTTGTGTTCCGTTGAACACAACAAGGAACAGACTGGTTGCTGATCCTCTAGTGGGTTTTCAGAAGCCGTAAATCACCCCAAAGGGGATTACCCCTCTTTTTCCATGGGAGCAGCTGGTGAATTTGAACCTTGTGACTTTGGGCTGGCAGTACAACTCCTTATCAGTAAGTCACCAGAGCTCACTTGTAACTCAGAATGATCCTAGCAATAGATTCTTGAAATAGAAATAGAACCTTGCCCTCTCCTGCACCATCCTCACAGGAAGTAGTAGTAGTTGTTGTTGTTATTATGTGCTGTCGAGTTGCCTGTGACTCATAGCTACTCTATGTGCAACAGCCCTAAACCCTGCTCCGTGCCAAAGCTAAATACTAGTTAAGGTTCACTGGTGGTGTGTAGGTTAAATTTTGGCTTAGATATCAAAAGATCAATAGTTTGAAGTCACCAGTTGCACTTAGGCAGAAAATTGGGCAATGTTTTCCAGTTAAAATATACAGCCTTGGAAATCCAATGGAGGGTCTCCAGCATTTGGAATCAACTCTTGACATCCTCCTAAGTGATGGTCATAGAATGTGATACTTGCTTCAACCACAGGCTGTGTATGGTAGGGATATAAGTAGACGGCATCCCTAAGGTGGCCAATGAATTTATTGGAGCTTTTCCCAAAGACAGTGGAACTAATGATGGTCATAGAATGTGATGCTTGCTTCAACCACAGGCTATGTTAGGGATATAAGTAGACGGTGTTTCTGAGTTGGCCATTGAATTTATTGGAGCTCTCCCAAAGATAGTGGAACTAACAGAAGTTTAGGAGTGTGTTGTGTAGAGAGGGGAGGGGACTTGCCACACAGAGGAAACAGTTGTTGTGCAAACCTCAAGGTGGAACAAGTTGTCTTTAAACCACTTTTTAAATTTTGAAGTATACTATGGATGTAGAAAAGATAACAACAAAAATGTACAGCTCAGGGGCCTGTCATGATGGACAATTGAGTAGCTACTTACTACCCAAGTCAAGAAATAGAACTTAAGTTGACCCCAGCAATCTCTTTCTGCCTCCTCCTGTACAAGAATCACTTCTGCTTATTATCAAAAGGAACCACTTTCTTGAATTGAGGAAAACATAAGCATTTATATTTGCCTGTCTTTGAACTCTCTAAAAATAGAATCAAACTCAGAAGCTCAAATTCATTGCCTTCAAGTTGGAACAGACTCATAACTGACCTAGCAGGTTTTCAGAGGCTCTCAACCATCAAGGAGGAGATTGCCTATCCTTTGGAGCCCCTGGGGAATTTGAACTGCCAGAGGCACACGGCCTTTGTGTTAGCCCCTCAACTCCCTGTGGGCTGTGTCACCAGAGCTCCTTTGAAATAGAATTAGGCACTATATAGTATTTTGCAACTGATTTCTTTGCTAAGGATTATGTTCTTTTCACTCATACTGTCTGTAGTGCTTGCTGATTTTTGTTGTTATATATTTTCTATTGTTTTTGTGTACCATTGAGTTGAAACCAACACATAGCTGACCCTCTGGCAGGTTTTCAAGAGAATTAATATCATGGGAGGAGATTGCCCAACTTTCTTTCACAGAGCATCTGGTGGACTCAAACAGCATGCCTCTGGGATTTCAGCACAGCTTCTTGCTACTAGCCACCAGAGCTCCCTATGTTTTCTGTTGCAGGCATATATTTATTGTTTTGCTTCTATACATCTGGCTTGGTTTACCTTGGTTACCTTGGGCTTTTTTTTTTTTTTTTTTTACCAAAAAAAGTGATTCTCTGGATGCTCCTTTTATCTGTTATTGGTGCACATATTTCTGTAATTGGTGAACTTCGAAACATTGTCTTTTCAAATTGAGATACTGAGCTTTATTTCACTTTCCAGTCATAACAAGGATTTCGGTTTTGTTTCTTTACACTGTTATTTCTGGGTTCTGTGTAATCATGAGCTGTGAAGATTTTGTTTGAATATCTTTGATTCTTTTTCCTACCCCTTCAAATATTGCTTCACATTTAAGGAAGGGAGGAATTAAAGATTTGGTCTGTACCCTGTGATTCATTGCACTGACATTATCTCTAATGTACATAAACACAGAGTCCTTTGAAGATAATGTTCTAGTGCATTGAAATTTTCCCCAAGTGGAGGAGGGAAGTAGGAGTGTTTTAGAGATAATGTCAATAGAACAGAACATTGTCTTTTTAATTGCTGAGGCAGTTATGATAAATCAAAGGCGGTTCTGATATTCTGCCTCTCTTTCCCTCTCAAAAAGGGGATAATAAATTGAGACATTATTTTCCAGTTAATTTCTTTCTGCTTGAAGGGATAGAAAACAGTATAAAGCCCTGGTCAGCCGAGAATAGCTAATGCACAGTGGGGCGAGTGTGGAATTTGTAAGAATGTAGGCATGCTTGGACTTTGATCTGTGCACATCCATCTGTCTGGCATAGATTGCATGTACTCTTGTTTTCTAGAGTAGGAAGTTGACATTTTGCTTTTCCTGTCTTAAGCTGGGAAACTTAAGAAGAACTTTGTGGCAGTTGTTGTAGTGTTTTCTCTTTCATAAATTTGGCCACAAGATAGAGAAAGTCCCAGAGAAGAGAAGAATCACAGAAATAAAATGATATTTTCAACCGTCTGACTTTCAGTAACTAACCACATAGCATGGGGACATGAAAAGTCTGTTTGGATCATGATTTTATGTTTTATAGCTGTAAGAATGTAAGAAACCTCTTAGTTTTTAATTTCCCTGTCTTTCTTTGCATTGGGTTTTGATTTGTTGGCAGCCGGGCAGCCTGACAAATTCAATTCCGAGGCCCCAGTTTAGAACAGTTCTATCAAGATCTTTGTTTTACATACTTTGGGCATGTTGTCAGGACAGACCAATCCTTGGCAAAAGATATCATGCTGGAAAAAGTAGAGGATTGAAGAAATAGAGGAAGACCGTTACCGCAGTGGATTGACACAGACTAACAATGTGCTTGAGCATATCAGCGATTGTGAGGATGGTGCAAGACGGGACAACGTTCAGCTCTGTTGTTCACTGATGGTCAATGGCACCTAACAACAAGACCACATCAGGATCTGGGAAGGGGAGTAGGAGTTGAGGCATCATACAGTTAAGTTGGGGTAAAGGTTAGTTCAGACCCACTGCTCTAATGTCTAACCTTTCTTTTAAAGCCTGGACCTTCAAAGGGTGGTTGCTCCACAGAAACATCAACATTACTGGGTACTTGATAGAAGTGCAAATTCCCACGCCCTACTTGAGCAACTCAAGGGTAGGGCCCAGCAGTTTGTTGGAACCCATCTTCCTGGTGACAGGGATGTCTGTTAATGTTTGAGAGTGAACCCCTGCTTTAACTCAAAGAACTTAGACTGTAAAATGTCAGGCTTCTAACTGATAGGTTTGCTGTTCAAATCACAGGAGACTAGAGCGAGGGCTATATGGTGGAGGGGACCTGGGGGAGGGTTTGTAAAACAATGAAAGAATCTTTTCTTTTACTTTTCCATAATTTTTGG